AGAGATTTGAGGAAAAGGTATGTCTTCTAGTCTACTCTGAATGTTATCAGCACATTTGGTTTTGTAAATATTTTGTAAAAAAAAATATAATAATTCTGGTAGATATTTATTGATGAAGAGTTGTAAAGTTTGCTACTGAATGTGATACCATTACATGATTAATTTGGATTTTTTAGATTATTAATTCTTAATGGAGGAATGACTTAAAAGAATGTGAGAGCAGGAGTGGCACATTAGAAGTTGTCCAATTAAACTTACCATACCAGTTAGTCAGAAACTGTGACAGATAAGCCATTTGGGCATTCTGTTACCAGACCAATCCTTCATTTTTGTCTTCTTTGGGAAGGGCATAAGTATGGGGAGTATTCAAAATTGAAGTTACTCAGATTTACAAGAGAGAATGTGGTCACATTTTTAGTGACATCTGAATTGGCTGACGCATGCAAATCAGCGGTGAATTTACAGTACGTAAACCTTAGAAACAAAATTCACTGGATAAGAGTTAATTCAAAAACATTTGTTGTACTCCCATCTGTAATTATGCTGCCTCCAGACCTGTGTCAGACTTTCCATACTCCACAGACCCAAACTTTCTAGTCAGGTGACAACTGCCAACACTAAACAGTGCCAATTAGTTTATACTGCTGTAGACCTTCATGGCATGATAGCAAGAACAGAAGCTTCTTTCACTATTTTTACACCATCCTTTCCTTTCTTGAATCTAAAAAAAATGAAAGGAAACATGATTAGCAAGTGGTATAGGATGACTTTTTGTATATTAGAGATTTAGACAGAAAACTGTTAAATTGGAAACTGCTGTTTTAACAGTTAACTGAAATAGTGCTATTGCAGATAGATTTCTGATACTGGTTGAGGATTTTGTGTGTGGGTTATACGGAGTGTAATTACCTAGTAGTCAATTGTTACTTCAAACAGTATACAGGTCTGAATAATGTAGAATAGTATAGAAGTATTAATTTGCAGCAGTAAATTCTCGTATTACTCTGGATGAATCTTGTTATCATGTGACAATGTTAGTAATGACATTTGCAAATAAATACTGTTTCATTTGCTATTACTACTTGCTTGGGGCCTGTACTTGATCTTTTGCATGTTTGTTACACTCATGTCCAGGCTTGGAATTGATAATTGCTTTACATATGACACCAAGCTGAGTGCTGCGGTTGATGCACTGGAGGGAAGGGAAGGCATCCAGAGGGACCTGGACAGGCTGGAGAAGTTGGCCCATGTGAACCTAATGAGGTTCAACACGGCCAAGTGCAGGGTGCTGCACTTGGGTCGGGGCAAACCCAGGTATTTATACAGACTGGGGGAAGATCTCCTTCAGAGCAGCCCTGCGGAGAAGGACTTGGGGGCCCTGGTAGATGAGAAGCTGGACATGAGCCAGCAGTGTGCGCTTGCAGCCCGGAAGGCCAACTGTGTGCTGGGCTGCATGAAAAAAGGGGTGGCCAGCAGGGAGAGGGAGGTGATTGTCCCCCTCTGCTCGGCTCTTGTGAGGCCCCATCTGCAGCACTGCGTCCAGGCCTGGGGCCCCCAGCACAGGAAGGACGTGGAGCTCTTGGAGCGGGTCTGGAGGAGGGCACTGAGATGGTCAGAGGACTGGAGCAGCTCTCCTGTGAGGAAAGGCTGAGGGAACTGGGCTTGTTCAGCTTGGAGGAGAGAAGGCTCCA